AATTTCACTGTGGTCAAAGAATATAATTTATGTGACTTGAATCCTTCTCAACTTACTAAGTTTTGTCTTATGGCCCAGAACATGGTCTGTATGGGTAAATGATGTATATTTGAGTGGAGTATTCTATACCTGCCAAGCAAGTCAAGTTGGTTGGCAGTATTGTTCAAGTCTCCTATGTCCTTGCTGATTTTGTGCCCACTTGTTGGATGAATTGTTGAGAGAAGGTGTTGAAATCTTTGACCAGGACCATGGATTTGTCTGTCTCCTTTCAGTTCTATCGGTTGTTGCTTCATGTAACTGTCATTCCTTCTAACCAGCTCGTGTGTTTGTTTGTTAAAATGTGTTTCTTGGGGTGCGTTGGTGGGTCAGTTGGTTAAGCATCCGACTTTAGCTCAGGTCATGAGCTCATGGTTTGTGGGTTCGAGCCCCACGTCGGGCTCTGTGTTGACAGCTCTGAGCCTGGAGCCTGCTTCGGATTCTGTGTCTCCCTCTCTCTCTGCCCCTCCCCCACTCGCACTCTGTTTTTCTCTCTGTCTCTCAAAAGTAAATCAAACATTTAAAAAATTTTTAAAATACGTGTTTCTTGTAGGCAGCATATAACGAAGTCTTGCTTTTTAAACCCAATATGACCAGCTCAGCCTCTTAATTGGGGTGTTTAGACCATTTACATTTAATGTGATTATCGGTGTGGCTGAGTGTGAGTTAATCGTCTTGTTACTTGCTTTCTATTCATCTCACCTGTTCTTTTTTTTTTTTAATTTTTTTTTCAACTTTTTTAAATTTATTTTTGGGACAGAGAGAGACAGAGCATGAACGGGGGAGGGGCAGAGAGAGAGGGAGACACAGAATCGGAAACAGGCTCCAGGCTCCAAGCCATCAGCCCAGAGCCCGATGCGGGGCTCGAACTCACGGACCGCGAGATCGTGACCTGGCTGAAGTCGGACGCTTAACCGACTGCGCCACCCAGGCGCCCCTCACCTGTTCTTTCTACTCATTTCCCCTTCTTCTGCCTTCTTTTGAATTCTCAAGAGTTTTATTTATTCCCTTTTATCCCCTCTGTTGGCATTTTAGCTGTGGCCCAACCTTGGCTGGTTTTTTGTTTACAGTGTTAACTTATCACAGTTGGTTTTGATTGGTTTTTCTCCTCCTTATGGGTCACATTCTCCTATTTCTTTGCCTGTCTGATCATTTTTTATGAGATGCCAGACATCATGAATTTCCTCTCAGTGGGTGCGGGATATTTTTATATTTCTAGATATATTCCAGAGCTTTGTTCTGAGGTGTAGTTAAGTTATCTGGACACATTTTGATCCTTTCCAGTCTTTTTCTGATTTGCAAGGCAGGTTTGGAGCAATGCTCCATTATTTATCCAGGGTTAATTATTCCCACTACCGAGGCAAGACATTTCTGATACCCAATGCCCCATGAATTATCCACTTTTCTAGTCTGGTTGCCGGGAGCAGACCCTCTTCCCGGCCTTGTGTGAACATCAGGCACTGGTCTCTCCAATCCTTTCCAGTGGCTCTCTTCCCAGCCTTGGACAGTTTCTGTCCAGTGTGAATGCTGGAGGGGCCTCTCTGCAGGCCTCCAGTGTTCTATTCCTGGGAACTCTCGCCTTTGTGATGCTCAGTCCTATGCCTCAGTCTCCCCAGACCCTCAGGTCTATATTGTCCACTCAGAGTTCCTCTTGGACCTCTCCGCAGGTCCCCCTTCCTTCCCTGAGGCCTGGAAACTCTCTCAAAAAAAGCAAACTAGGCAATTGTGGGACTCAACCTGACTGTTTCCCATCTCCCTGGGACCTCAGGTGTTCACTGCCTGCTGCCCACTCTCTTGAAAACCATTGTTTTGTGTATTTCTGTTCGGTTCCTCCCCCCCACCCCCACTGTTTTAGGTTGTTTCAGGCAGGAGGATAAATCTGACCCCTCTTGCTCTGCCTTGGCTGGAAAAGAAGTCTGCCTTCTGATGAACATCTTTGATATAGAAACATAAAATTTCCAAGTAATGAAATCCACTGAGCTTTACCTTTCTTCCCTGATGCTTCCTTCCACTGCTTGTGAGCTTAGAAATTTCTCCCCAGCATGAAAGCAGACAGACACGTACCTACATTTCTCTCTAGGTTTAGTTTTAACAATTTATTTTTTTCATGCTGAACTCTCTAATTCTCCCGGCATATATTTTGGTACTTGGCATGCAGTGAAAATCTCATTGCCTTTTCTTCTCCACATGCACGTCTGATTTTCCCAACCTCTTTTATTAAACATCTCACCACCTCCCTTTCATTGACTGAGAGGCTTCCAGATGCTCATGTATATGTGATAGCGTGCTGATAAGTACTGTAGAATTGGGCGAAATTTTACAACCTTAGAGAGCAGAGGGCGTGAAGTCGTAATCCACGGTCTACGGTTAAGTCCACTGTTTAGGGGCTATGTAACCTCAGGACCTGGCGTCACCCATTCTGAGCGTCAGTTTGCTCTTCTGGAAAACACAAATGATGGGAATGTTTGCCTCTTTGGTCTACTGCGATCATTGCATGAGGAAACTAAGAGGAACTTTGCTGGACCCGGGGTCTGCAGGGAGTACTCAACACATATCAGCTATAATACCTTCACTTTGGAAATCTGCTCTGAATTCGGAAATCTGCTCTGAATTTTCAAACATTTCTTAGCTATCCCTGCATATTTTTCCTTCTCTATGAATCTGAGATTCATCTTGCCAACCACCTCCCCACCCCTGGCTCACCCTCTTCCCCAAATAAATCCTATTTGAATTTTGGTTGAAGATCTGGCAAACCTATACATTAATTTGGTAAGAACTGATTTTTTTTTTGGTAAACTTCCCACTCAAGAACAAGTTATGTTTTTTCTTTCTCTCTCTCTCTCTCTCTCACTCTCTCTTTTTTCAAAGTTCATTTTTATGTTTCTCATTAAACTTTGTCCTTCTCTTCCTACAGACCCTGAACATTCCTAAGAGGGTTATTGCTAAGTATTTTACGCTCTTTGTTTTGTTTTGTTTTGTTTGAGAATAATATTTTTATTCCACTTTATCTTCTCTCTGGTCGTTGCTAGAAAATAATAAAAAATGTTGATTTAAAATATGTATTTTGCATCTGGCCACTTTCCTGAGTTCTCTCATTTATCCTGAAGGTTCTTCCGCTGACTCTCTCGGGGCTCCTAGGAATGTGGTAGTTGGTTTCCTCCTTTCCAGAAGTTATACATCTTATTTCCGTTTAACATCTTTCTCATTGTCTTCAGTTTCCAGTCCAGGGCTGAAGAGTAATGGTAAAAGCAGGCGTTCTCGTTTGGTTCCTGTCTTGGACTGAAACACTTCGTGTTCCACCACCGAGTGTAGATAAAGGAAGTGCTTATTTATAGTTTTCTATAGTTTCTTGAGCCTTTGTTTTGTTCTCAGAAATAAGGATTGATTTTTGGCAAGTGCCCTCCCCCCGATGTGTAACAATTAGGAACTATTTCAGATACACCAGGAGGTAGAAATAAAAATAGGAAGGACCTGCATCTATGCACCCACCACCTGGCGTAAGAAATAAAACATGATGAACCCTGTCTTGGTGCTCTGGGTCGCCCCTTCACAATAAAATCCCCTGGAGGGGAACTGTTCATCTGAGTTGTGTGTTCCTCACATCTAGGCATTTATAATTTGTTTTCATATTTTTTAAAGCTTATCCATTGAGAGAGAGAGAGAGGGAGAGAGAGAGAGAGAGAGACAGCACAGAGCCCAACGCGGGGCTCGAACTCCCAAACCATGAGATCATGACCTGAGCCGAAATCAAGAGTCGGACGCTTAATGGACTGAGCCACCCAGGCGCCCCTTGTTTTCATATTTTTAAAAATGTTATGTAAGTAATTTTTCCCTTTTGCAACTGACTCATCGCCCCCAATGTTGCATTTTCACGATTTGCCAGTGGTTGCATTTAACTGCAGGTCCTGTGTTTTAACTGCACAGTCCACTTGTGAATCTCCCACAGTTTACCTGTCTGCTGTCCCCTGGATGAAGGTTCCAGCATTCTGCAATTGCCAACAGTAATCTGTGCGGGGAGGGGAACCAGAACTGGCAGGCTTCCTGGAGTTGACCAGGCGTCCCGGTATCTGCTCCCTAGCACAGCGCCCGGTCGTCTCCGCGCCTGCACCTGAGCACAGGTGTGCACCACTGTGCTAGAGCTTTCCATCTGCAGACTCGATTTTGCTACATCTGGTCCCTACCTCTCTCCCTTCCCGAGCCTTGAAGGACACTCCCAGACAAGTCTCGGAGCAAGGACCTCCTCCTCCATGACCACATCTCCACTACTGCCCCGTTGATACAAGTGTCACAAACGTTCTCTGTCACTTTGGGTTTGGATGTGGCATGTAGTCAAGGCCGCTGCATCTCCTAACGCGCCCCGAAGCTCCTTCTGCATATTGAACGCTGGCCTTCATCAGGGATGTGCTCCCAAGACGTGGCTGGCGGCTCCCCTGGGCTGATGGCGTCATTTGGTGCAAATGTGAGAAAAGAGACGGCAGGACCCACGCGGAGTCCCTTGTCCGGAGCCCACGTCACCAAAATGAGCTTTCATGGTGACCTTCCGCCTGTCCCTGGAGCTCGGGAGGGCGGGGCGAAGGGAGCAGGACAGAGGCCCGCGTCCTCCCGGGAAGCCGGGCCCCTCTGCCTGCCGGACCCCACCCTGGCTCCGTGGCCCTGCCTGAGTCCAGAGCCCCAGAACCCACCAAGGCCTTGAGAGCTGGCTCACCTGCACTCTGCTTCCTAACCTGGAGAGGTTCACCTTCTTAAGACTTTCTTTATGCCTCTGGACTTCACTGAACTCCCGTTTCACGGTGCGAAGGTTTTACGCCTGGTTCAAGAAATTCCCTTAGTGGGAGCTATGCTCTCCTATAGCTGCTTCCTGAAACTTGGAATGTTTTCCTTCTCAGATTTAGGTCTTCACTTGGCAGGGGGGCTGATTTTCGGTGGTCGGTGTAAAGAGGCTGGCGCACTGTTTTACTATTCACGGTGTTGGTCCGTCCAGGGCCCCCCACGCCCCCGACACCAGGCGCGCCCATGGCCCCACACATGTGCCTGTCCTCCATGTCTGTGCCTGTGTCTGTGCTTGTGACCGTGACCGCGTCCTTCTCTGTGTCTGTTCCCAAGTTCACATCCCTGTCCGTGTCTGTGTCCGTCTGGGAGCCGGCGCTGCCCCTCATGTGGTCTGGTCTGTCCACAGTCCCCTTTCCTTCTGCACACATTTAGACTCAGCATGAATTTACATGAATCCCTGTGGGCACATGGTTGAGTTGCCCTGAATTCGTGGATTAATTTAGAGAGAGCAAATAGTTTTGATACATTACTCCTCGTCTTAGGGAACATATAATAGCCTGTAGGTATTCATGCTGTTTAGATACTTTTCAGTAATGCGATTTTATCATCTGTCTGCTTGCCTTGCACATGTTTTCCTAGATTTGTATTTATTATTGTATGTTTTTACATTTCTGTTGTAAATGGTATTTTTAAACACTGTCGCCTAACTCTCGATCTTTCTATCTCATGCTCGCGCACACCTATACAGAACTCTTCGTTCTGATTTAGAGTTGCAGATTTTATTTTCTTGGGGTTTTTTTTTTGGTAGACAACTATTTGGTTGTGAATGGTGGGAACTTTTTTTAAGATTTTCTTTTTAAGGACTCTCTATACCCAACGTGGGGCTCGAACTCACAACCCGATCAAGAGTCACACATTCCATTGACCGAGCCAGTCGGGCGCCCCAAATAGTGGCAAGTTTTTAAGGCACAAGTAGGTAGGACAAGATACAATTTTTCTTGGCCTGTTGACCCCCTTTCCTGGCAGTTTATTTTTCTCGCCCCGAAGCTCTGGCTGAGACACCCGGACTGTGAGGAGGCAGGTGGCATTCCCGCTTGAGTCTTGAAACATTTCCTCGTTGAGGGCGATGTTTGCTGTAGGCGTTTGGAAGATGCTTTCCTCACTCCAAGGAAACCGTCTTCGACTCTTAATTGGCTGAGAATCGCCTTCACTGACTGTGTTCTGTTTCCCCCAAGTCTCCCCCAAGCCTCTGCTTGGTGACTGTCTCAAGAGTCCCCCGGACAGCTTGCTTGCCAATATAAAACTACCTTCGCATCAGAGGGGACCCCCTCGGTCGTGACGTCATTTAAAAAAGTTGTTAGTATTTTTGGTGATTCAAGTAGGACCACTTCATCAGTTCTTCTGCAAAACCAATCTTTGACTCTCCTGATTTCTTTCTTTCTTTCTTTCTTTTTTTCAAAACTTGTTAAATGTTTATTTATTTTTGAGAGAGAGACAGAGCGTGACCGGGGGAGGGGAAGAGAGAGAGGGAGACCCAGAATCCGAAGCAGGTCCAGGCCCCGAGATGCCAGCACAGAGCCCGACGCGGGGCTCGAACCCACAGACTGCGAGATCGTGACCTGAGCCGAAGTCAGGTGCTCAACCGACTGAGCCACCGAGGCGCCCCATCTTCTGATTTCTTGAATTAGATGTTTAACACGAGCGTTTGGGGGGGGGGTCTGTCCCCTGCTTTTCCAGCGTGGCCCGCTGCTCGGCAGAGCCCGGCCTCCAGGCTCGGCCGGCCCCAGATGTGTTGACATTTCTAAACACACACTAATAAGTTCCCTGCCTGGGTCCACTTGGCCGCAGGGGGCTGACTGCTGGCTCCAAGCGCTGGTCCCAGGCAGCTTCTAAATTGCTTCACGTGTACTCTGGTTTAGAGAAACAACCTTCTTCTTTATCTTTTCTTTTTTTTTTTTTTTTTAAGATTTTCAAGTTTATTTATTTTGGGAGAGAGTGAGAGAGAGAGAGAGGAGGGAGAAGGGAGAGAGGGAGAATCCCAAGCGGGCTCCGAGCTGCCGGTGCAGAGCCCCACGTGGGGCTTGAACTCAAGAACCGTGAGATCATGCCCTGAGCGGAAACCAAGAGGCAGATGCTTAACCGGCTGAGCCCCCCCCCCCCTCCGGGTGCCCCGGTAGAGGAACAGGCTTCTGCCAACGCCCATCTTCCACGCCTGACTGTCTGGTTCAAGTCTGTCTCCCGCTACTCTGATCCTCCTGACCCGTGGGCGACTTGGGATGTGCTTTCAAACCTCCCGCTCAGATCCCGGACCTGTCCGTGTTGCCCGTGGTTGCCCGCGTTCTGGTCAGCTCCCGGCAGCCCGTGTCTGCACAACTCGGGGTGAGGCGACCCTCCTGGCCCCGGGCTGACCGTCTCCCCAGGCAGCTGTCGCCTCTCGGAAGAAAGCCGTGCGGTGGGACGGCGGCGTGGGCTGGGCGGATCCCGCCGTCTGTGCGGCGAAGGCCTTCACCTTGGAGTCTCTGCAGTACGGCTCAGGGGCCACGCTTGGTGTATCTCACCTGCTCCCCACGGGTGTGCCGGCGGGGCTGGGGCGCGGGGGTGGGGGGGCCCCCCCGCGCGTGCCTGTGTATCTGTGAGCGTGTGCGGGGGGGGGGTGCCCACACGCGCCACGGGGCGTCCGACTGGGGCGCGGCCCTGTGTCTGGGGCGGGCACGTGCCGCCTGGGGGTTCGACCTTGCCCCGGGGTCCCGCCGCCCCGCGGCTCTCTGGAAGGCGCGCTTGTCGGGTTCTCCGGCTCCGCGCAGCCCTCCCGGGGGGGCGGCTCCGGGCTCTGAAGCCGCCTCCGTGAATGCTTCGCTGTGCGAGGCTCTACGTCTCCGTCCAATTTTCGTGATTTATATTTTCCATAATTCTGTTTGGTCAGGATTTTCAAATTTATTACACAGTTGTGCACTGTGCCGTCTGTAATATAGAAAGAAGGGTCTGTGTGTGCTGTGTCTGCCCTCGCTGAAGTGTGTTTTCCTGCTCCTTTCCTCCGCGGGCGAGAGGCCCCTCAGGCTGAGTGCACCCCCTTGTTCTGGACCCTGCGTCTGCCCCCCACGTTTCCGGGGGACGCCCGTGAGCTCTCCCAGTGTGCTCCGGCCCCCCTCCTCCCACACCCTCCCAAAGCCAAGCTCTCCCACCCCAACCTGGCTTCAGAGCCGACCCAGGCGGCGGGGGACCGCTCACGGCGGGGGCGGGGGGCAAAGACCCCGGCTGAGGCGGGGAACCGAGGGGCACGTGGGCCGCAGGGTGGGGGACAGATGTGGAAGCCGCCGGCAGAGCCGGGGTGGGGCGCCCCAGACCTGGGCCCAGGGCCCGGTCGTTTCCCGGGCTGACCCCGAAGGTGAGCGCCCAGTGTCTCGCGGGCCCCCGGCCCGCGGGGTGACCACCCCACACTCCTGTCCTCCCAAGCCACCCCCCCGGCCCCCTCCTCCAGGCCCCCCAGGGCCCCCCCCCACCCCCCCGTCCAGGAGTCAGCACACGCTTAGTGGAGGGGAGCCTGCTAGCTTTATTCACAGGCCCCAGGAGGTGGGGGCAGCGAGGACAGAGACGTGGGGGGTGCCCGGGGGTGGGTCTGGGGGCCGGGCGCTGCTGCGTGGGCTGCACGGGCCGAGGGTCTCTGCCTCCGGAAGCTTCCCTGGCTGCTTCACTTCCAGCGCCCGCCGACCTTGCCCTTGGGCTGGGCTCCGGCCTTCTTGCTACTGCAAACGGAAGCAAGCTGGTCTTGAGCGGCTGGGGGGGGGGGGGGTGGGGCCCCGGGCCGGGACCCCCCCCCCCCCCCCCCCCCCCGCCCCCGGCAGCCCCCCGGCCCCGACAGCTCAGCCCACCCACCCAAGCCCCGGGCACACATTTCAAGCAGTGGTGACTCACCTGCATTTGGCCCGGCTGGGCCTGGGCGCCTTGTGCCAGGACGGTTAGTGTGGTTAGTGGAGGGAACGGCGAGCCCAGGGCACCCCCCAACCCCTGCCAGGGGCTCGGGCTCCGGGGGGCCACCCTCGGGCAGACCGGAGCCTGCCAGGGAAGCTATCTGGACAGATGGCTCTCACTGTCCCAGCTACTTTGGCCTGGAAAGAGCCTGTGCCGTGCGTCCCAGATCACAGCCTTCCTGAGGTGGGACAGGCTGAGGACAGTCCCTTGTTCCCTGACCCCGGGCCAGCAGGCCAGGCCTCGTGGACTCGGGCCCTGGGAGGTCAGCGCCCTGCCGGATGGCAGTCCTTAGGAGCCTGCTGTGTCTGACTGACTTTGCACATCAGGCAGCCAGCAGGGAGCTGGGTGCTGGGTCAAGGTCCCAGAAGCTGACGCTCCGGGGACAACTTCTGGCTGTGGCTTCAGGGGAGACCCTGGTGCTGGTGGCCGTGCCCGTGGCCCGCGTCCTGCAGGGGCCAGCCTGAGAACCCTCACGCACATGCACGCACACACACAGGCACACACGGAAGGGCTCTCACGAGGCCTGCCACAACCCCCATGACAGAGCCCAGGGAGGAGGGTGTCCCCTTGGCCAGTCCCCTGGGGCGGAGGAGCCCAGCCCTGGGAGCAGCAAGGAGTCAGGGGACGGTGGAGGAGGGAGAGAAACCCGACGGCAGGCGGTCCTGGGGACACTGCCCTCCGTGGGGGTGTGAATGGGCTCAGTGATCAGACTGGGAGGCAAAACCCCAGCACAGGGGGCACTGGAGCGCCCACCCTGGGGGTGGCGGGCTCCTCCAGGCCTTTCCTGGCGCCTGTGGTCGTGGGTCCCACGGACCTCGGGTGATTTTGCAGACGGAGGGCTCACCGTCTGAAGAAACGGGGGCCAGGGAGGCCCGCAGCCGAGCAGGTCGCATCTGGAGCAACGCTCGGCTGGGGAGTCGGGGTGGCGGCCCAGGACGGCCCAAATCCCCAGGCGGCCTCCTCCCGGGGCTCTGGGGTGAGGAGGGGCCAGAGGAGGCTGCGGGCCCGGGGGTGCGGGTTCCAGACACGCGGGCGCCAGTGGCCCACCAGTTAGTGTTGTTACCGTCGAGGGCGGCGGCCCCTGGGACCGGCTGAAAGCGCCGGGCCCCAGTCAGGGGGGCGGCAGCCGGCCAGCCCCCTGGCACCGTGTGCCCGGCACAGAGCGACAGGCAGGGGGGGGGGGTTACTCACTGCTTCTGGGCCTGATCGATGCGGCTCCTGAGGTTGGTGATCTGTGAAGAATACGGGTGGCTTACCTGGCAGTTCGAGCAGGGCCGGGCCGGTGGCCCTCTTCACCTGAGGCCTTGCTGCCTTACTGTGTCCTGGCTCCTCGGCTCGGAAGGCAGCGGCCCTCGGCCCCGGGGCTCGTGCCTCTGACTTACTTTGGGCGGCCTGAGCCGGAGACCTGGGCTGAGACGCACGCAGCCGCTCTGGAGCCGGCCACTTACCTGCGGGCCTGCGGCAGGATGCGGGGCGGGGGCGTGGGGAGGGAGGCGAGCCTCGCGGAGCCCCCGACTCCGGCGGTCGGAGCCGGCCCTCTCGCTCCCTCCTCCTGACCGCCCGGAGAGGCTTGGCTGGGGCGGGCAAGGCCCTTCCCCGCCTGCCGGCAAGGGCGGCAGGGCGACCTCGGAAGCCGCGGGCTGCAGGTGGTGGGGAGGAGGTGGGGTCGGGAGGCCGGCCTCCGTCCCCGTGCCCTCCGCTGCCATCCTCCACGAACCAGGCTTGCCATGCGAGAGGCTCACCGTGCATTGCACACCACGAGCCCGGTCCAGGGTGGACCCTGGCTACTTACAACTTGGCCAGCATCTCCACTCTGGCCCGCATGTTCATGATCTAGAAAGACCGAGATGGTTAGCGGGCTGGGTGGGTGGCTGAGGCTTCGGGGCCCTGCCGCGTGCTGGGTTAGCCCAGGCGGGGGCCCTCGTGGCTCTTCCGGCCCCTGGGGACCCACTGCGGGTGGCTCACAGGTGTGTCGGGAGGCACTGGGTGCCCGACTCGACTCCCTGGACCCCGAGGGGGGCCGTGTGCGGGTGAAGCCCCCTCCTTCACGCCGGGCCTCCCGGAGGCACGTCAGGAGAGGACGGCGGTGTCCCTGACCCTGGGCGCGGAAGGGACACGCGTGCTCCGCGGGCGGCCCCGGTGCCCCTCCTCCTTCTAGGAGAGGTGAGGAAACTGAGACGGACCAGGCGAATTGCCCTACGGCGCGGCTCCCGAGAAGGAGCCGCACTCTCCAGTCACCGGACACCCGCTTTCCTGGTGGCCTGTGCCGACAGCCGTGGGAGATGCCCCTGGGGTGTGCGCCGTCTCCCGCCAGGGACCCTGGAGGACAGCGGACGGCGGGGACCATGCCCCTGATGGTGAAGCTGGCGGGGTCGCGTGTGCACAGGGCAGGTTAGCTCCCAGCCACCAGGACGGCGCCCCCCCTCCCCGGGGCTGGAGGGGCGTCAGGGAGACAGAATCTGCACAGGCCGCTGTTCCGAGTTGTGAACCCCGCCCGGGCGGCTCTAGGCAGCCACCCTGCCTGGGACTCAGTCCCAGACCCCTTTCCCAGCTGCTGGAGGGGGGGGGGTGCGTGCCCTCCTGCCTGCACTGACCCGAGGAGGTGACAGCTTGAGGCCCTGAGCCTGGGCCTCCCCAGGGGATCCCAGGAGGCCACCCTGGTGCTAGAGGAAATTGTGCTATACTGGGGCGAGCTGTCCACCGGCTCCGGGCGATTCGGAGCCTGGACCCCGAGGCGCCTCTGCCCTCCGCTCCTCTTGTGGCCCTCAGAGCGAGGCCGACCGCTTGGGACACGGAGGCATCCCCGGAGGGTGCCTGCGGCCAGGCCCCGTGAGGACGGCCCTCGTGGGCGTCCCGGGCGCCGAGGCCATGGGGGTGCGGGGAGGTGGCCGCCCCGGGACCCGAGGGCCAAGGTGTCCGCACTCACGTCATATTTCTGGCGCTTCAGTTTCTCGCCAAACTCGAACTTGTCGATCTCCAGTTGGTACAGGGTGTCCCAGAGTTCCTTGGCCTTGTCCCTGGGAAGGCGGCAAAGGCGCGGCGGGGGGGGGGGGGGGGGGGCCGGTAAGCGCCCGGAAGGCGGGGCGCGGGCCACCCGCTGTCCCCCCTCCCCTCGGGTCGCCAGGGAGAGCCAGCGCCCCGCCCCTTCCCGGCCCCACCTCAGCTTATCTTCGCTGAGATGGTCGATGTTGAGCGGCTTGCGCCTCTCTGCCAGAACCTTCTTCTTCATCTCCCGGGCCGTCTGCTTCTTGCCTCTCTTCTGGTCGGCCTGAGGGGACGTGGCGGAGGGGCCCGGCCTCAGGAGGGGTGCGCCGCACCCCGACAGGAGGCCGGTCCGCGCCGCGGCTCCGAGGGCCCCGCGCTCACCTTGGCCAGGTAGCTGCTGTAGTTGGCGCCCATGGAGGACAGGGCCTTCTTCTTCTTCAGGTCGTCCTCCGCTCTCCTCTTGGCGTCCTCCTCCTCCCTCCGGGCTTTCTCTTCCTGCAGAGACCCCCGTCCCCGAGGCCTCAGTGCCGGGCTTCGAGGGCCCGCCCGGAGCAGCCGCGCGGCACAGGGGGAGCCGGGCACGGGGGTCCGGGGCGGGGAAGGGGTCCCCCCCACGGCTCACCGCCAGCCGGTTCTGACGCTCCCGCTCCTTCTCGGCCCGGATCCTCTGCTGCTCGGCTCGCTCCGCACGGCGCTTCTCCTGTGGCACGAGGAGCAGGTCAACCTCGCCTCGCCAGCCCCGGCGCCCCCTCCCCGGGGGCGACCGCCCGCCCCCGCCTCCCCCCAGAAGGGCCCCGACTCACGATTCTCTCCTTGAGAGCGACCAGCTCCTCCTCCTCCTTCTTGCGGGCCTCAAAGTGGCTGTCGATGAGTGCCTGCAGCTCCATGAGGTCCTTGTTCTGCCGCTTCTTCTGGATGTCCTGCGGGTGGACAGGGCCCCCCGTCTCCGTCTCCAGCTCCTCCCGCCTGACCCCCCCCACGCGGCGGGCGGCCCCTTCCCGTGCTCCGGCAGGGGCACCCTGTCCCCTCTGGCCAACACGAGGGTGACCAGGGACGTTTCGCCCTCCCCACGTTCCCATGGCCATTGCCCTCCTGAGGCCCAAAGGCGACCTGATCCCTTGGCCCCAGGGTGGGAACTTTGCCCTCCCTGGGGGTAAATCGGGGCCCCCGCAAAGCAAAGCCCTGAGGTCATCGGCACTCCTGGGACGGACTGGCTCTGACTTGGCCCCGTTGTCATCCTCAGAGATGTTCCACATGGGCCAGACAGAGAGGAAACTGGTGAGTGAGGTAGTTTACTGAATAGACAGATGGATGGGTGGGTGAAAGGATGGATGGGTGGATGGATGGTGGACAGACGGGTGGTTGGATGGGTGGA